TATAAGTAAAAGCATTAAGTTTATAGTAATTAATATAGATATATAAGTTATTATTTAGTTTCTATACATAAAACATAAAAAATGTAAAAAAGCTTTAATTTTACTTAATAAAGCTATATTTAAAATTATTTATAATATATTTTTTATTACTTCTAGCTTCTCAACATATTATTTATATAAAGGGTTATAACTGTTAGGCAAAGGCTTTATAAAGACAATCTTATAGTTATAAAATACTACAACAGTTCATAAATAATGTAAGGCCGGATGTCCTAGAACAGGCTAGTATGGCCTCACCTGACTAGTTTAGAGGTTATATGACCTGTGATTTGTATATAGGGATAAATCCTAACAAGTAAGGCTTAGTAGCAATTTGTCTCTCTTACAATACACTTCTATCTTTCTCTAAAACCTTACTTTTAGTGCTATTAGTGCTATCTACTATTCTATCTTTACATTTAAATTGCTCTACAAGCTAGTATACTGCTTAAAGGCAACATTCTTATAAAATAGTGTTAATATAAAACACTAGAAAAAAAAATTAAATGCAACTAGGGCTTAAAGACTACTTAAAAAGCTAACTAAGACTACTACTTTTAGTAATACTTAACTACAGTTAACACTAACACAGAGAGAAATAGAGCAAGAGATAAGTAAAAGAGATAATAGAAATCTTTATAAATTAGGCTTGTTAAGCTATCTAAAAGGCAATTAGGGCCTAGAAGAGGTTAGAAGGGCTAGTGCAGGGCCAAGTAACGCACAGTCCACCCCTGTAAATTAGGCTTTAGCAGAAGCTTGCGCCTAGCTGTAAGAGCAGCAGGAAGCGTAAGAACTAGCTAGAATAATAGAAATCTATTATTAATTTAAGGCAAGTAATATAGACGCGCTTAATAAGTTGCTAACTAAGGCATTAAATATTATTATACTAAAACTTACTTAAGACTAAGCAAACCTACCGCGTTCTAAACTGCCACACTAATATAAAAAGAAGAACAGGGCAGACTATAACTAGTAGTGTAAAGATAATAAGAACTATTATTAAAAAAGTTTATTAAGCTTTACTTAAGAATTATAGAAGATCTTTTTTAGCCTATAATACATTAATAAGACACTATAATTACTATAAGAGACACACTACACTTATTTAAAGCTTATTAACTTATTATAGCTAGAGAGGGACAAGCAACAGCAAGAGAAGCAACAAAGACAGTAAAGCGCTCTAACACCTATTAATTTTAATAATGGCGAGCTCCCTAGCTTAACTCCGCAGTTAAATGCTCTACAGGAGGTCTTCAGCACCTCTGTTGCTGTACCAAGCCTCATTAATTGTTAGATACTAGATCCTGGCTCTAACGCGCACATCTGCAACAACACCTAATACGGCTGGACCTATTAACGCGACGCAATGCCTGGAGAGATTGTATACGCTGGCCGCGAAGCTCTACCCATCACTAGCTGGGGAGACGTCCACCTAAAGGTCAATACACCTGCAGGACTCTCCACTATCAAGCTCACACATGTCGCATACGTCAAAGGCTTCTTCGCCAATGTACTAGGTCTCGCACGATGCAGATCCCTAGACATCCACTTTGACTCTGGTAGAGACGCGTTATACCAAGGATCCTCAGAAAACGTTGTCTGCAAACTCGCCTACTGAGACGGACATTGGCTCATTGACGCAGAGGAGATGGAGCGAGCAGAGCTCTCCACCTTCAGCTCTCGGCTTCGAAGCTCCTCCCCTGAACTAGTCACCTTAGCCACTAAGCTCAAAAGGATCTATCATTGTCCATCGCGCGAGGAGCGACGCCCTATCATCACTACCTGCGAGGAAGCTCACAAGCTCATGGGTCACATAGGCATGGAGACAGTCAACCATCTGGAGCAAAGCGTACAGGGAATCAGAATACAAGAGCATGGGCATAAGTACGACAGAGCTGTGACACTTAAAGACTGTTAAGTATGCATTAAAACTAAAATTAAGAAGCAGATTAGTTAACAACTGCCACAATTAGCATCTACCCGCCCATTCCATCGCATAGGCATAGACCTCATCCAGCTCTGCCCCACTGGCCAGCGCTGCTACAATGGAGATCTATACGGACTCCATGCAGTAGATGAGTATACCAAATGGCATGAGACGCAGCTACTCCACCATAAATCATCCGCCGTACTAGTGCCAGCTATACTTCGATTCATAGCGACCATACAACGTCAATTTGGCTTCCTAGTCGTCACCATTAGAGCTGACAACGAGCGGGGATACGGAGACCTTAGCGAGCTCAAAGATCTAGGCATCAAAGTAGAATTCCGCGCTGAGCATACAGAAGAGCAGAATGGACTCACAGAAATCGCTGGTAAGCGACTCATCACCGTCGCTCGAGCTCTGAGGCTCCAGGGCAATCTACCAAAATCACTATCCAATGAGCTCTTCGCATCCGCCGCCTACTTGCTCAATCGAGCACCAGTCAGAGCACTCCATTGGCGCCCACCATATGAGTTGGTATATGAACAGAAACCCTCCATTGCTCATCTAGCTCCAATCGGATGCTGCGCATATGTACATAACAAGCATCTCAAACGCGCGGACAAGCTCGAATCCAGAGCTCTGATAGGCCACCTAGTTGGATACGACTCAACCAACATCTATAGGATCTGGCTACCACCAAACAATCAAGTTATCCGAACACGTGATGTCATCTTTGACACAGATCAGTTTTACACAGGCACCAAACAAGAGGATTATATCAATCCTTCATACATACAAGTCCTCGACATACCAGAAGTCGACGACGACACCGAGAACCTCTCTCTCAAGCATCAGCTCGCTCTCTCTCAGTCACTAGACGCACTAGGAATTTGGAACGTTATAAGGCCAGACGAATTTGGAACCCACTCTAGCACTATAGAGTACAGTAGGCGGAATTTGGAATACGGGTTGCGATATAGGCGAAGTGAAAATCCATCAACTTTTCGGCACGATTCGACCTGCAGGAAGACCGGAGCTGCGGCGACTGAGGGGGTTGCAAGATAAGTACCAGTACCTAACCCTAAACCCCCCCCCCTCTCTCCTAGAGAACCGGGGATAAGTACCGCAGGACGAGACAACTGCGCGGGCCCCAGGGGAGTCGTGAATTAATGGAATTGGAGGTGGAGAACACGCGTTAGGGGCGGCAATTAACCTAAACACACGTTAGGACGCGTAAAGCAACTAAAGCAGAGAATATAAGAAGATAATACTGTGTTTTAGCGTGTAATGCACGGCCTCGCGTAATGCACGGTTCTGCGCGATGCTGTCAAAACTTCAACCACCTCTCTCTCAACCAATATGGGCAGTATTAAGGCCGCTTTGGAGTCGCTGAAATCGCTGAAACCTAGAGAATCACTAAATTATGCTGCAGTAGCTAGGCAGTATGGCGTTAATTAATCTACGCTCTCAAGGCGTCACTAACGCGTTACCCGCCTGCGTGCAGAGAAACTTAAAAATCAGCAACTACTTAGCCTAGTGCAGGAGAAAGAGCTAGTAGAGTACATTAATAGACTTTATACAAGAGGTTTATCCTCTTTAAGATAGATAATTTTAAATTTTGTAACAGAAATAAGTAGTAGGTAAGCTAGCAAGAGCTAGGTTAATTAATTTATTAAAAGGCACTCTATTAACCTATTATCTTAATAGACATCTAGCATAGACGCTGCGCGTAACAAAGCCAACTTAGCATTTAAGTACTCGCTATATTTCAAGCTTGTACGCAAAAAAATTAAGCAATATAGCATAGAACCACAGCATACCTATAATATAGATAAAAAGGGCTTCCTAATTAGGGTACTATTAAAAATAAAGCGAATCTTCTCTAGACAGCAGTATAAGCAAGGTATTAAGCAGCAGCTTATATAGGATGGCAATCGCAAGTGGATCATAACAATAGCCTGCATCTGCGCCAACAGCAGCTCTCTTATGCCTGCGCAGATCTACTAAGCTGTTTCTAACTATATATAAGACTCTTAGCTACAGGATTTTAACCTCTTTAAGCATTAAGCTTTCTTTGCCTTATTACTTATAAGTTAGACAAACAATAAACTAGGCCTAGTATAGCTTAAACATGTGTTTAATTGCAAGACTAAGGTAAAGGCGCAATAAGTGTACTAACTTTTGTTCCTAGATGGCTATAGATTGCATGTTTTAATAGAGTTTATTAAGTACTGCGACAACAATAAGATCCTCCTAGCTGTATACCCGCCACATGCGACCCATACGCTGCAGCCTCTTAATGTCTGCATGTTTAAACCTCTCTTGTTAGCCTACTTAGCTAAGCTGGCTAGCTTTATAGATAGATGCTAGAGACTATTATTAATTAAGAAGAGGGACTTCTACAGCATGTTTAACAAGGCCTAGAAAACGTCCTTTAAGCATAAAACTATCCTTAGTGCTTTTAAAGCAACTAGTTTATTACTATTTAAGCTGCAGGTAGTCTTAGATTAATTTTGCTATAGGCAGGAGAAGCAACTATCCTCTAGTAAGAGCACTAGCTTAGCACTTAGTGCAAAGGATTAGAAGAGGGTTAAAGGCCTTTTAGACAAGGTTGTTAGTAATCTCTATAGGAGAGACGTACAAGAGCTTAAGAAGACTGTCTAGTTATTCTTAGTGTGTTGCATCCTCCTCTAGCGTGAGCTTAAGCAGGTTAAAGATGCACTAATTAATAAGAAGAAGCGCCGCCAGCGTAGCAAGCCTCTCCTACTAGAAGCACCTCTAGAATATTATAGTGGTGCGACCTTCTAGTCCCCAAACAAGGTCTAAGAAGCACGTGATTGTTAGGCACAAAGAGATGCTAAGAAGGAGGCTCTATAGCTTTAAAAATAAGAGAAGGTAAAGCGCAAAGAAGCAGAGAAAGCTAAAAAGGCGCGCGCAGTTAAAGGGAAGAGGCATAGAGTAGTAATAGCAAAGAAGGCTTACCTGCAGGAGCTTAAGACAAAAGCAGCTTAATAAGAGGAGGTAGAGCTTACCTAGCAGGTTAATTAACAGCTTAAAAATAACCTTTAGCAGGTAATAAAGGGTAAGCAGAAAGCTCCTACGCCTATTGCTAGTACGCTAGAGGATTTTAATAATGATGCAGCATTAAATAAAGAGAGGGAGCCAGCATTAGGCAGGACTTAACATGGCAGGCAAATTAACCTCCTTATAAGGTATTGCATGTAAATTATTGCTAGGAATAGAATCTATAGCATTTAATTAGTATTACAACAAAAAATCTATATAATCTATAATTTGTGTGAGTCTCTAGAGCTTTAAAAGTAAAAGGCGCGGATTGCTAAAATCGTGCATTACGCGAGGCCGTGCATTACGCGCTAAAACATGGTAAAGAAACTTAAGCAATAGAAGCAGAATAGATATGTCAGATTGAAGCACTGTTTCTAGGCTTCCTGAGATGAATGATGGGTTTGGATATGATGTATGGGATGATGATTGATTGTATTTCTTTATCGATCCTTTTTCTGCTCTACTCGTGTTGCTCGGCCTTTTGTTTTAGATGGATGGATGGATGGATGTCTTTATTACGCCCGGCTCTAGCCTAGAGGGCACTAGTAGTTTATTACATAAGCAATTCCTTAGTAATAGCATACCTCCTAATAGCCTATACATGTAAAATATCTATCTCTCTATATTTTCCTAGCAAACTCTCCTATACCTCTTGTATTTAGTAAGTAGCAAGTATTCTTAAGGCTCTCTTCTCTAAGTGTTAAGTGTCCCTTTGTTAGTAAATAAAGCAGAACCTGCTAGCGTACAAGTGTTAGTATAGTATAGAATTATTCTTAAAGTTGCAAGATCCTAGGAGTTCTGCAATCACGTGCAGCAGCTGTGCAACAGCGGCAGTAGGCCTTGTTTATAATAAGTAACAACAGTGTAGGTTTTAAAAAGGGTTCTAGTTGCTCTAGAACTAGAGTTCTAGGTTGTGGACAGAGAGGACAGGCAACAATTAATGTGGCGAGCCACAGTGGGGCGGCGTAGTTTTTAGGCTTAATGTTCTAGCTTTTAGAGTAGGGGCTAGTAGTTTAGATGCTAAGGGTTAGAGAGGGTAACATAAGTGTGAGGGGAATAGTAGCAGCAAGGTGTTTTTGCTAGGGCTGGATGGCGTACTAGCAGCCACACTTGCATATGACTGCTGAGAAGGTATGCGCGATAACAGTAGGTAGGACAGCAATGGGCGTGGCAGTGGTTAGTGTGGTGACAATGGGCGCAGCGACAGTAGGTGAGGTGGCGATAAGCATGTTAGCAGACATGACTTAGACTGCTAAGATGGGGACAGGTTAGAAGAAGAGGTAGACAGCAGTCTAGCTGTTAGTGTTGTTTAAGGGCTTTAAGGAGTAGCAGCAGGGGCAGTGTTAATGTCTTAGTAGCTAAGAAAATCTAGTATTGTATCTGCTAATAGACAGTCTTGCTTATAAAACTTAAGCAGATCTTTGTTGCTTAGTTTTGCAGCTTTGTAGGGTAACATAATCTCTATTTTGTAGATTAAGTAGGTACATATATATTCTTAATCCTTATTCTCTTCTGCGTATATAAAGCCGCATGTTGCTAGCTGCGTTGGGGATGCAGCTACGCATTTCCATGTAGATGGGAACGTGGTGTGACGTGACTGAATTGTTCAGAAGGATTGCGACGCGTTGGACGATGATTGTCAGATATGCGCACCTACTGTCAAGACAGGAGGAACGCTTGACGAAAGCTGCCACATAGTACGAGCAATAAGCTCGAACAGTATGTTGCTGCAAATTGCAGCATTTTGCAGCATGTTGCAGCAAATTACAGCATTTTGCAGCAAATTACAGCTTTTTGCAGCAAATTGCAGCAAATTGCAGCATTTTGCAAGCTGGTCGCGCATGGGGCAAGTGCGCGAGGGACTCGGATCGGCAAAACAAAAAGCCGAGCAACACAAGTAGAGCAGAAAAAGGATCATCCCAAAAAACACAATCAATCAATCATCCATACATCACATCCAAACCCATCATTCATCTCAGGAAGCCCAGAAACAGTGCTTAAATCTGACAATGATGGTGAATTGGTTCGGCATGGGTAAGACGGTGACGGTGA